CGGGTCCTTGGGGGAAGTGCAATTCACTGTCTTTGATAAATTTATAAGTGCTTATTTACATCAAATTGAACTCGAAATCATTTTGTTACGTATTGATAATTTACCTGAAAAAAGCATATCAAAAACTGCGATGACCGGAGATCGCCATGATTAGCTAGCCGCGATGGATCCGTTAGCATGATCACACTCGCTCTGACACCGTCATGATTTAAGTATGAATTTTAACAGTTATGCCAGTTGGCCATATTTTTCATCATTCCTGTTTTATCCTGTTTTGCTCTGTTTTGTTTTTTAATACGAAACTATGTAAACTATTCGAGTGTTAGCTGTGTTATATTTTTATTACCGTACGTAAACTTGCAATTTAACTGAGCGTAAAAACCTTCAAAACTCGGACTGTCCATTTCGTTTTCTCTCGAAGGATTTTCGTTTCTGCTCACGTTATCATAACGTAAACTACGGCGCTTGGCATGTTTTCAAACCTTTTTTTGGTTCTTCTGTTGCTACTTGCCGGCTCGCTTGTTCCGAAATTTCAGTTTCAATTAACGAAAAAACTAGAGAGAGGTCCGGGAAATGTTTGGACAGAACAATTTGGCAAATGGCGTGACAGCTTTAGCTCAGCTCTAGCTCAGCAAACATTATTCGAACCTACATACATTTTCTTGTGATATATGCAAAAACCACGGTCGAGATAAGTGCAGTGATAATAACACTTACCGAGACCTTGGGTATTGTTCACTGATAAACTGGGAAGTCTAGATAATTATTAGAAAACCGCAAAATTTATCTGTTATTTTAACGAGATAAATTTGAAAAATCAGTCCCGTGATTTAATTTAAGATCTTTTCAACGCGAGAACACATTGTCACCCATTGGTGGCTAATTAGAATGTTTTCCGATGAAAAATAAATCACGTGAACAGCAAGATGCGTGAGTTTGGCCCATTTGCTCGTGGCAAAAATTCCAATCTCTCGTGTTGACTGCTAAGCTCTCCATCTGAAACGCACCAAAATATCAGAGCATTGAATTAACTTATTAAAAGCAAATAAGTCTTGAAAGAAAGGGACAGCACATAGAACCACTCAAATAATCAATGTATTTTATAGCCTCCTACATTAAATAATCTGTTTACTGAGTAAAAACAGTGCCCGCGAAAGAATTTTTTTTAGCTGCAGGGGGGAAAGCGGGTTAATTGCGAGGAAGCGTAGTTGCTGAGGTCGGAAAAAAATCAAATGTATTGTCCTTGACTAGAAGAGGTAAATGTTATTTTTAATTCCTTGAGCTTAACAGATCCTTCAACATAAAAGTAAACACTCACAGACCTCACTGATTACGCCAAAAGGTTTAAAATACTTCATTTAAGAGGTTTTTTCTATTTTTGAGTTTGCATCACTTTCCAAAAACTATCATGCTGATAAGTGCAATTTCTAAATTTATATTATAAGAC